TATTCTTTAGAATGATAGCGATAAAATTGATAAAATAGTTTGTTTAGTTAATTATAGAAGTGTATATAAACTCATTTTCTTAAATAATTTTTTGAAACAGTCATGGAGAAGTACTTCAAGAGAAATTTTGAGTCAGAGTTATCACCTCTTCCAAATAGAGGTGGTGATTCTTCAAAGAAAAGTCATGTAAATATTAATTTGGCGGATCTTTCATCAGATCTCCGACTACGATCTCAGATTATGGATTATAATCCTAATGATCGAGACCAAATTCGTAGAGCTCATTTATGAAAGGGTCCTTGTCAACCCCGTGACCATAATTTTCCACAAAAAGAATTTGGTGTTAAACTACGACGGTTTAACAAAGCTTGGTTTTCTCAGTTTGGTAACTGGCTTGAGTATAGTGTATCAAAGATGCAGTATTTTGTTTGTGTTGTTATCTTTTTAAATCAGATATGGGAGAACAATCGGGTGGCGAAACATTTGTTAGCTCAGGCTTTTCAAATTGGAAGAGAATAGAGAAGTTCCAAATGCATGTTGGAGGCGTTAATAGTTCTCATAACCAAGTTTGGAGAAAATATCAAGATTTATTAAATCCAAAGTAAAGTATTGAAGCTATTTTCTTCAAATAGTCAGACCAAACTCGAAGTGAGTATAGAACTCGGTTGAATGCATCCATTGATTGTATTTAATTTCTTCTAAGGCAAGGGCTTGCATTTCGTGGTCACAATGAATCTGAGAATTCAAGCAATCAAGGAAACTTCCTTAAATTTCTTAGATTTCTTGCGGATCACAATGAGTATATTAAAGTTGTTGTGTTGAAAAATGCTCCTAAGAATCTCAAGTTGACTTTACTTGAAATTCAAAAAGACATTGTAACCACAGCTTCTGTTGAAACGTGTAATGCTATTATGACCCGCTTTGGTGATGCACTTTTTTCTGTTCTTATTGATGAATCACGTGACATATCAACAAAGGAGCAAATGGTTGTTGTGTTGCGATTTGTGGACAAGAAGAAATATGTAGTTGAACACCTTTTAGGCTTTGAACATGTTACTAATACTAGTGTTCTCTCACTTGAGGCAGCTATAGAAGATTTATTTCCTAGACATGGGTTAAGCTTGTCAAGATTGCACGAGCAAGGTTACGATGGGGCTAGTAATATGCAAGGTGAGTTCAATGGTCTCAAGACACTTATAATGAAGGAGAATGAATATACATATTATGTCAATTATTTTTCGCATCAGTTACAATTAGCTCTTGTGGCCTTTGCAAAGAATCATATTCAAATCGCGACTCTTTTCGACTTGGTTGCTAATATTATGAATGTTATGGGAGCCTCGTGTAAACGGCGATATATTCTTAGGGAAAAACAAGTGACTAAAGTTATTGAATTACTCGATAATAGGGAGCTTTAAAGTGGGCGAGGCCTAAATTAGGAAACTAATCTTACACGTGCTTGTGATACACATTGGGGTTTAGATTATTATTCTTTGATCAACTTGATTGATATGTTCTCATCAGTGGTTGAAGTGCTTGATATGGTCTCAGAAGATGGTATAAATGCAGAATAAAGAGGGGAGACAAATGTTCTTTTGGATTTGTTACAATCTATTGAGTGTGTATTCAATCTTCATTTGATGAGAAGGATTTTGGGAATCACAAATGAGTTGTCGCAGACATTACAAATGATGAGAGAAAGTAATTGGAGTTGTTTTCTTGATGATGTCGCATCTTTTTGTGAAAAATAGGAGATAGTTGTTCTAAAGATGGACGACATCTTTAAAGCTCAAGGGAGGTCAAGACGTACTCAAGAAAAGACAAATTTGCATCACTATCAAGTTGAGTTATTTTATACCATCATAGATATACAATTTGAAGAGCTAAATAGTCAATTTACTGAGTCAAACACTAATTTACTTCTTTGTGTGACATGTTTGAATTCTTCTAATTCCTTCTTAGCTTTTGACAAAAAGAAATTGTTTTGTCTTGCCCAATTTTATCCAAAATAATTTTCTTTACTAGAGCTCATGATACTTTCTGATTTGCTGGATAGTTATATTATTGATATGCGCTCTAGTATTGAGTTTTCAAATTTGTTAGGGATAGGAGATCTTGCTCAGAAAATGGTTGAGACGAAAAAATACGTGGTATATCCATTGGTCTACTTACTTGTAACATTGGCATTGATCTTGTCAATTGCGACTGCCACAGTAGAGAGAGCATTTTCGGCTATAAAGATTGTAAATAATTGATTGCGTAATCGAATAGGAGATCAACTAATGACAAATAACTTGATTGTATATATAGAGAATGACATTTTTGATTGCATTGATAATGATGTTATCATGCAACGCTTTCAAAAATGAAATCACGTCGTAGTCAATTGTAAAAGAGTATAGTTAGTCTCATTTTTTGTAAAATGGTCTAATTAGAACATTTTTTTACAAATTTTGTTTTTGTTTTTGTAGGNTTTTGTAAAATGGTCTAATTAGAACATTTTTTTACAAATTTTGTTTTTGTTTTTGTACCCCATNTATCATGCAACGCTTTCAAAAATGAAATCACGTCGTAGTCAATTGTAAAAGAGTATAGTTAGTCTCATTTTTTGTAAAATGGTCTAATTAGAACATTTTTTTACAAATTTTGTTTTTGTTTTTGTAGGGTATATCGATTTTTGGCTCTTTTGTCAATGAAATTTTATGTATTATATATAATTTAAAAATTTTATTTCTCTTTAACTTTAATCCTTAAGAAGAAAATTTTTTAAACTTATAGTTAGTGCCCCCACGTATAAATTCCTGGCTCCGCTCCTGAGTTTAACTGGTACACCAAACATTTACTTCCCCTTATTATCGTGGCAAAAACCCATCTCATGATTAAAAATAAATATTTGATATAACGGTTACACTATATCAATGTTGTCATGTGATGTAATTGTTCAATAATAAACAAACATGTGAGAACATGAACTCCACTTTTTAAATACATGACGATTAATATCTTATATAGAAAAGTAGTTATTTGAAGGATTGTAGTATATTTTACTTAATTGTTGAGTTATCATTGGACACCACGTTAGCGTTGTCATGTGATATAATTGTCCAATAATAAACAAAACAAGTAAGAAAGTGAATTCCACCAAACATTTTTGGTAGTCCACAATGGCGGATGAAAACCTTGTTTCTCACACCAGAGACCCAATCAAGTCCTCAGGCGAGTTCTCTTTTTTCTTTTTCTTTTTCCTTTTTACTGTTTTCAATACATAAATACATGCGTGTTTGTGTATTTGAGGTTTTTTGTTGGAGATTAAAGTAAGCACATCTAGTCTCTTTGTATTATTCTATTCTATTAGGATTTGAATTCGTGAGTTCTTCAAAAATCCTTGCCACTCGTGATTTTAGCCATCTTGGGATTTTTTTTTTTTAGTAGGAAAAGTTTGCACTTTGTCTTGTTCTACGTCTTTCTCTCAGATCTTTATGTCCACTTTCTTTGATAAAAGGATTCCATGTGTGCAGTGATTAGTATGTGGTTTATAGTGTTTTTTTGGGGGGTGAGGTTTTAATGTCCATTTCATATATATATTTAGCTCAAAAAAAAAAAAATCATCATCTTTGCCCCATCTTAAGTGGATTGGTTGCGTAGTATCATGTACTAAACATATCCAAAATTGAAAAATTAGGCTTATCCAGCTATATCCAATATATATCCAGCCATATGATTACCTTGGCTTGCGGAATTATTTACTTAAACATAGTAGTTTTAAAATAAATTTATCAAAATATGATATTTTTAAATTTATTAACCAAATTATAACACTTTTTAAAAACAAACTAAACAATCTTGTTTTTGTTAAAAAAAGCGGTCAATAATTCCAATTTTGTTAAAAATTGGAATTAATAACTCTGCTTTTAAATTCAAATTTGCGGATGAAAAATGTCTTTACTAACCACGCTCCTCTTTCTGTGTCTTCATCTCTCTCCCTCTCTCTATCTTCAACTCTCCACACAAACGCACACAACACAACTGTTGCACGCTTTTTTCCACCAACGTCCCCTTTTCTTCTTCGGCAACCCAGTTCCAACTTCGACGACTTTTCCCCTTTTTCTGTTCTCCGAAACCCTCACAACACCCACACACTCCACATAATCTTTCCGTCTTACAATTGCCATAGTCTTTCTGTCTTGCAGTTGTTCTTTCAATACCCATTAGAAATTAAAACGGGTTTGTTAATTTTTTTTTTTAATGGTTAATGTTTTTCTTTGATCTGATATCAAGTTGTTCTTTTGAACTGATTAGCACTTCCATACAAAAATTTCAGCTCTTAACATTGTGCAGACATCCTGATCATGATCAATTTTACACGAAAAAACCCATGAATCATGATCAGTTTTGCTCATATTGAGGTCATGGTGGCTGTTGCACGAAAAACTCACAACTCTCCCTGGCATGGTACAGCTTCTTGTTTTCACGCCTTCATTGCTCATAAATTTGGTATTCTAAACTTTGACAGAGGCAATGGCTTCTTAGCTGCATGTTTTGGCTTGAAATCCATAGAAAGATTTGCACTAAGATTTCAAGAAATTCAGGCGAAGAAAGAAAAGAAAGGTTCATCATGTGATTTTATCAGATTTACCATGAAGTTTGAGGAAAAAAGGGAAAGGAAAGCAGATTATGATCTTTTGTGTGAGAAGTGTGTTTAGTAAACACGTTTTGCAGATAAAGTGTATATAAAACGTGTAAACACGTTTTTTTTATCATTGCCCACTTTTTAAAAAAAAAATTTAAAAATTAACAAAAACAGAGCTATTGAATCCGCTTTTTGTTAAAAAACGAAATTATTGAATTTACTTTTAAAAAGTGGTGTAATTTAGTAAACAAATTAAAAAATGCTGTATTTTGACATATTTGCTTTAAAAATATTGTATTTTGACATATTTGTTTTAAAAGAGCTGTATTTTGGTAAATAACTCTTCACTGGCGGCCATATAATGACAAAATTTCAACCATAAGGAATTCAAAGAACTGCACAACTTGATTGAACTGTAACACATCCTGCACAGACCAGTAGGCATAAAAGAAACAAAAGAGCTACCTGGAAAACGACCAATCTCACTTTTTAATAAGATGTTTAACCATTTTGCAAGGCCAAATAAATTATAGGAAATGATACGAGTTTGAATATTCTCACTGATAACAAAAGAAATCTAGTAAGGACCGACCCACTTATCTGCCAAAGAAAATCCTATTTACAACGTCCACGGGCAATGCATAAGCCGGATCTATGGGTTTCAATCCTGGATATTCAAGAAGTGAAAGGCCTGCGTATACACGAAAAACAATAAGTTTGGTTAAATTTATGACATTGAGAAATTGACAGCAGAAACTAACACATCAGAATGAAGATTTCAATGAAGGTTGCCAATATCCAGGAAAAGAAAAAAAGATGGTTTGCCAACTCTATGATGCCACCTCTGCGGAAAGGGGGCATCAAAACCTAATAACATTAGATGACAAAAAAAGCCACCTAACAATAAAAAGATGGGGTGAAGGGGAAGAAGTCAGCGATAACTTTAAAGGGGAGAAAGGGAGGTAGAAAAGATGATGGGATAAAAAGCAGAAGCCACGATCTATCCCACTAAACAAAAACAATATAGTCTAACGGCAAGCCAAAGAATTGCTAGTTCTGGACATAGATTTCAGATCAGCAGCCACCAAAGTCTCCTCCAGAGGCCTTAAACTTATCAACAGGAAAACATATATGTAGTTTCCAATCGACATTCTAACACGAACATACACTATCACCTGCCATTGCAGTGTTACATGAACATTTATCTTAATAGGATCACCCATCACATGTCAGACGCTCTAGAGGGTGAAAATGAATCAACTCTTACCAGCAACTCCAAAATAGGTATGATAGACATCAACAGCGTCATCAGGCCTATCTGAAATTCCTCCATTCTCCTTATCCTACATTTTTTTAAAGAACATCACAAATGATTCTGAACTTCAACCTCTAGAAGAAAAGAAACAGTGCTATCATCCTAAATTTTACTCAAGTAAATTTCAAAATGAAAGTGACTTGAGTTCAAAATTGACCTGACAGTCCAATATAAATCTGACAAGTTTTTCCTTGTCAATCCAATGAGCTCGATCAATCATTATCAAGCTTGATAGAACCCACCATGAATAGCAGACCTGAAACAACGCAAAAGGACCATTAGTGAGAAGCATCACCCAAATATTTCATGAGTCCCCAGCAAAGGGAATAACAACCCACATCAGGGAGTTTCTCAGGACGCCCATTTAGACCTCCAGATTTAACTTGTCGTTCACACAACCACCAGCCAAGTAGGTCCTTATCAACATGATGTAGAGATCCAGTTATGGCAAGAGCCCCCACACAACAGAAAACTGCAGTCATAATGGATATATGGTCAGTAAAGAAGACAAGACATTCACACAAATGCAAAAGTTCAAGCTACTTATTTAGTGACTGAAGAACCTCCGGACGGTGTGGTACAAGATCTTCACCACATTAAAGATACTTCAGCATACTTCCGCAAACATTGCATAACCAATCAATTACATAGCAGAGTGATTGCATTGCTTTCAGTTGGGTTTTGTTTTAAATGCAGAAGAAAGCATAACAAAAACATATTTTCAGCTGGGTCTTGTTGGAGGTTCAAGTGCCACAACGGGCCTAAGGCAACACAACTTCGTGAAGGCGTGCGCCTCAGGCTTAAGCCCAGGGACACATGACTACATGAGGCAGAGTACTTGTATTTCCTGGTGATACATTTTGCATCATCATCGTATTAGGACACCAACTATAAATATCTAATTTTAATAGTAAACCCTACAAGGGAATCTCATAGATCCAGTCTAATCCACTAGTATAAATAAATAGCTATTCTGGATCATGATCTCTTACTTTGTCTATGTCATCTACATCTTCTCTCGTTTCCTAGGTCTGTCTCATTCTTTTCTCCCTCTCTCTTGAATCTCTCTGATTTCTCCTTCTCTTGTCCTCTCATTTTTCTTTCTTCCATTTTTTAGTAACTTCGACCCCTGATTTACTAAAATCTATCTCTATTGTCAAACAATAAACCTCCTTTTTTTTATTCAATAGCCCTTTATACTGTGAAATTAGCTTTTGATTCGAAGAAATACGGACTCAGTTCAACTCTCCTCCTCCTCCTCTCTCTAGCTTTGTCTGGGAATTTCTCACAGCCTTTTACTGAGATCTCATGTGAAAATTAATGAAAGATTCTAAAAATTCTGAAATTAGCAATATTTTGAATATTATTGATTTTTATGTAATCTGCTGAAAGTTGATAATAGGGCAAAGATTTGCTCTATGTTTCTGAAAAGATTGAGATTGTATCTGTCTTGTTTTCCAGGAATTAGCTTTATTTGGCATAATATTGATAATATCTAATGTAATTTGCACAAATTAGATGTTGAAAGCTCCATAATTTTGCTAGAATTTGCTCTATGCTGCTGTGATGTGTATTTCTTGTATTTCCCTGAAATTTATTGCATTTAGTTGTACTTGTGGTGTAATTCATAATTTTTACATCACATTTACACCATGGGTCTCACTTCGATGAATTTCACATCTTGTCTTACACCTAAGCCCCATGAGAACCTGGGGCCTGGATGCGCCTTTCATCCTAAATAAAATTGGAGTTAATTCTTTTTAGCTTAATCCCCTGACCTCAAGGCTCAAATACCTATTATAATAGATTCTTACAACAAAAAACAAGCTTCCTATGTAACAGTTGTAACCAGATATATACAAGCATAGCAACATATCTAAGGAATAATAAAGAATCAACCAAGATCATTAGAGAATTTTCTAAGCTCAACAGTTAATAAAGGGTTCACAATTGGGAGTAATACGTATGCTTGACTAGTTGGCCAATAATTAGCAACACGAATTTAGTGACAAAATAAAATATGTGATATGTGCAACATACTTTGCCCTGCATGAGATTCTGCACCAGGTATGGACCCAAATCCACCATCTACATTCTTGCAACTTATAATGTATTTTACAGCCTTTTCCACATCGATTTTATCCAAACGATGCAACAGTGCGAGAGAACAAATTGCAATATAAGAGAACCTGAAGAAAGAATTTGTAGAATCATAACGGTATAGTTGTAATGCTTCTTTAAGAGACATGATAAGTTCACAAAACAAATAAGTATATAAACCGATACCAAACACGGGACACAGTCATAGTAACAGATCAGTAGGGAGAGAGGAGGGATACCTTGTGTCAACTTCACCCCACATGTCCCCTGAAAAGGATCCATCTTCATTCTGCAGGCAACTTATATCTAGCTCAAAGATCAAGTTTAACAATAACCAACTTGAGGCACAAATTTCTGACATGAAAATAGACCTTTCACGCAGCAATCTAATTAGCGTAGCAACTCCTTACGAAAAACCCTTTTTGTGTTTATTTTTATGTCATGTTCACAACAAGAAGTTTGCAAGTATTAAGGTAGTAACCACTTCCAAACACAGAATGGTTCTGCAAGTTGACAAAGTAAGAGATCTATCATTTGGAATTGATATCTACACACATTGAAATATAAAAGATCAAACAAAAGGTTGAAACCTAAAACAATGTTTTTTTTTCTTAGAAACAAACCATCTTTATTGCAACAACATCAAAGAAGGGTAATAAAACAAAAGATTCTCTCCATCCCATTTAAATAGAAAAAAGTGGAATCCCTTTAAACTCCTTCGTGACTGAGGCCTAAAATGACGATAAGAAGTGAATGCAAACCCATAAACCTTCAAAGCAATCTTCTCAATCCTCGAAGATTGTTGCAGTCTTTCCTTCCAAATGACCCAAAAAGTAGCTATTATAGCCCAATTACAAAGAGTTTCTCCTTTACCATAACTACCCAGGCCTTTCAAATCTTCCACAAACAAAGATGTTGATGAAGCCAGAATCACCCATTTCATTCCCACCAATCTAAGTAGCTTATACCACAATTTCAAAGCAATGAGACAATGTAAAAATAAATGAAAAGCTAAAATAATGTCAAAGCCCCAAATTGCATGCTGAAGGATACAGTTTGACACCTTATCAATGTCAAGGACATCTATCTTGTCAAATAGTGCTAAAATTTGGACCGCACTTATGGTATACAATATATGAGGGTCATGTCCAATGTTTCCACCAAATCCACCTGTACGAATATAAATATCCAAATCAAAACACAGAACAAATATATCCTAACACGATCCAATTCATAAGCATCTCAATGAGTAACAACTTGATTTTCAACTCAATATAGTCCACTGCAGAAGTCAGTCTTCAGAAAAACACAGAATATAGATGAACATCACAGTCACGGAGTTTACCCACACTAATATATACACAAGCAAATAACGGTGTTTGGAATGAGATGAAACAAAGTATAACAGTCATAAACCAGATTCATGTTGGCACTGCATGACCCATGAAACAATTTCATCTCTGTCCACCATTTCAAGCTCCCCTAACATGTCAAGAGTGGTCAGTCCCCAATATGCCCCATTTATTCTTAAATGCTCCATCACTACAGATTCAAAATCATCCTTCCCCTGACAAAACGCACAAAGTTATATGGATATTTCCTTTTTCAAAATAAAACTTAAAAAACATAATCAGAAGAGATGAAAGGGATTTCTACCTTTTCAACTGATAAAACATACTTAACATGCTTTTCAACTGCTAGTTCACCCATCCTGTAATTAATTGGGTACTTTAGTCTTGATATTATCCACCTGTCACAAAAAAATAAATAAATAACAACAAAAGAAGAAATACCAGACAACTAGGTTTTGGTTATTAAAATTTAGGATCTCTAATTGCAATATAATTGGGCACTTGTAGATGGATAACTCAACCAAAAGAACATCAATCCATTCAACAAATTATTCAAATCCATTCTCTTTAGCTATAGTATAACATCTAGGAATTCAGGGGGAAAAAACAAAGCAATTATAAGCAGAAAAAATTATATTTTTGGTCCCTCAAGTGCGCCGTTTCATCCATATGTTTCAAAAGGATAGCTTCATTCCAGTTAAGAAATCCCTAAGTCCTACTATACAATAAAATCCACAAATTTTCAGAACTTGAAAACAATCAAGATAAAATAACATGCATTGGGCAACAAATAGATTAAAATAGATACCAAGTGGGAAAGTTATAACTCAAAGATGAAAATTAGTTTCAGGTAGTGCAAATTCATATCAAAGATAAAAGCCGCATTTTAAGTTGGACGGTTCATAGAACTTCTGTGACAGAAGAATCACATTTATTCCCAGATGTAAGAATGTATAATTAATTAGATACACAAGATTCGATTTAGTTGTAGAATTATTTACTACATGCATTTCCTAAGGAATTCAAACATGCAAAAACAGAGTGAGAATCTGCGTGTGTGTGTGTGTGAGAGAGAGAGAGAGAGAGAAGGAGGACTCCAGGAAGCACTTACCGTTACAAAAGCAAGGAGAAGGGAGGATGAGGAGACTCAGATCGACTGAGTGAGAGGAGACTTAGATCGACTGCTCGATCTAGAATAGAGGAGGAGAACGAGAATCAACCAGATCCTACAGGAAGTCAAATGGTCCAGACTCCAGAACTGTTCGTCGTTCGTCACCTGAGTTGTTCATGGCCCGGAGTTGGTCGCCGGAGTTTTCGTCGACTGGGAATGAAGACTAAAGTTGAGGATTTTTTTTTTCGGAGAATTACACCTAGGTCCCTTGTATTTGTTAATTACTCAGATTCCTAATATTTAAATATTACATACAAATCCCCTGATATTTGTACGCACGTAACCTTAGATCTTATCGTAAATATATCTGTTAATTATCTGTTAATTAATTATATTTAAACTCTCTTAAAGTTTATAAGTATATAATACTTAGACCTCTTAACTTTAAAATATTATATTTTGACAAAAAATTCTCCAATCAAAAATAGAATATCAAATATTTTAAATTTTACAACTAAAAAATATAAATTTTACATCCAAAATTCACGTTCTATTATGTCATTTATTAAAATAAAATCAAAAATAAAAATCTAGTTTTAAAAAAAAATCATAGTTAGTATATAATTATACTATCTATTATAATAAAAATAAAAATTAAATAAGGGGTCAAATTATAATGGACATAATATCTTTTAACTTTTTATTGCAGTAATTTGGTATTTTAATTTGATCGTTTAAACCATCAAATTAAATTCAATAGACAATATAATTGTATATTAATTACTATTTTAAAAAAAAAATTATTTTTATTTTTTATTTTATTTCAATCAAAGATACAATAAAACATGAATTTTAATTGTAAAATTTAAATTTTAAAATATTTGATATTTTATCTTTGATTGAAGTATTTTTAGTCTAAGTATAACATTTTAAACTTAAGAGTTCTAAGTATTACAAACTTTAAGGGGTTTGAGTGTAATTTATTAGTGGATATATTTATAGTAGGAGTCTAAGTGTTACACACGTATAAATTTTAAGAAATTTATGTATAATATTTTAAATATCAGGAAATTTGAGTGATTAAGTAACAAACTTCTTCGTTATTTTTTTAAATATGATTTGAAATCCATTCACGGCTTTTATAAGGAAAAAAAAATTCAGCCGATTTAGCGGTTTCCTTCCGGTTCTATTGCATATACATGTAGGTCCCGGTTCACAATATAATTGGTCGAATTTGTATAACACTGGGTTGTGGTTTGGTGGGAAGTGATGAGGTGCATAGTTATTAAAGTTGGCCTGAACGTCAACCCAGCAAAGGGATTGGTTGGTTATTTGACTCAACAGTTGGGTCACCAGTTGATCCGATCATATAATAAAAAATAAAAAATATTTCTTAACTAGTGTTATTAACATATTTTATATATAATAGAACCCCACAAAACAAAACAGATTAAATATGAGTAAATCACGTTGCAAAATCAGACATTTATCTGTTACTCATTCAAAAATACATACCTTTTTCTTGATAGGCAAAAATACAGACAAAAAATCCGCAAGTTTAATATTACCCAATTTTACAAACTGAATGTTGAACTCCCAGTGCTAAACACATGAAGGGAAGTTGACCAATTAAAACCCACTAGCATTGGTCAATCACACTTAAATGAATAACAAAATGAATGAAGAACAAAACCTTGCAATCTGCATCCAAGCTTTCAATTTAAAACTGGAAAAAAAAAATCAGTATACCAAAATTGAGAATGAAACAACACAGCTTGCAAGAATAATAAAAAAAGCCCAATTGATTTCAACCACATAACAAATAAATCAAAATGAAAAAAAATCATAAAACTGGTAATTTCAAATCCGGTAATGTAACTGTGCGTGGTGATTTTCGTACAATGTATAAAAAGACAGTTACTCCCTAAGTGAACTTGTCTTTACCTCAAAAGTTGATGATCCTGTGGCAAAGGAGGGTCAAAGATGGCCTAAGGAGTGGTGATGAATTGTTCTTAGGGTTGTCTGATCGATTCCGGCGGATCGTAGATGGTTTGGGATGTTTTTCGGCGTATCCTGACACTCAGAAGAAGGGTTAGAAGGGCGCTAAAGTGATTCCGGCGCATCTTCTCCGACAATCAAGTCAGTTCTTTGAGAGACGGAAAGAAGAAAACAATGTTTGGTGTTCTTGAGAAATGAATTTGTGTACCTTTGTCTTCCAGTTTTTACCACTATTTATACATTTTAGGGCTCATCATTGCTAATAGGTGAAGTAGTAGGTATAGCACAGTTATTGGACAGTACATTTTCCCATTTTGCATAGGGGAGTCGCAATTATTAATTGCTCGGACTCCCGAGCATTAAATGCTCTTTTTTCAATGTAGAGGCATTAAATGCTCGAGTCCTAGGGCATTTAATGCTCCTTCTCGGCTTCTCAAGTCATCGTGGATGTCCCATCCTTTTGAGGGGTCGTTAATGTTTCTCATAGATGACTGCATGTCAAAAGGGATACTTTAGTCTTTTTACCCCCAACCTTGTTCATTATGTCACGTGTCTCACTCTCTTTGGTTGTTGGTCTTATCCCTTGTGTCATTCTAACTTCATTGGGAGAGTTACCCAATGATTCCTAGTCTAGCTCTGAGACTGATTGGCTACGTTAGTCAGTGACCCCTCCAGGAGTCGAGGCGACGTGGCCAAAATAAGTCCTCAGAATCTAACCACACAAGGAATGTGCAGCTGGAGCAGAGAACAGGAGATGCCTTTAGTGTCAAAGACACATGATGTTCCTCAGAGGAGGTACCCTCGGTGTCGAGGACATATGGCAGTATAAAAAAAAAAGAAGATGCCCTCGGTGCCAAGGACACATGACTTCATCAGGGCAAAGGAGGTGTCATCGGTGCGGAGGACACGTGTCAGAATCCAATCCCTTCTTAGAAGTGTCTCATCAAAGGGTTCCTTCTTGATCTTGTGGAGCAGATTATAAATAGGTTCCTTGAACATAGTGTGGACCCCTTTGAAGGAACTTCCTAACAGAGGCACTAATCCTTTCTGGGAAGGAACTATCTCTTTCTCCTTTTCCTTTTTCTTGGGGGCCAGAGACTTCTCTTTGCCCCCCACTATTTCATCCTCTATTCGGGAATATTTGTTGATTCGGGTCATTAGCTCTCCCATGTCTATCGGTGTTTTCTTGGTTAAGGACCGATAAAGGTCGGTATCCTGCAAGAGGCCAAGCCTGAAAGGGCAGCTGCCATGACCTCGGAACATTCCTCCACCCCGTTCAGTCCCTCCCAGTATCGAGTGGCGTACTGGCGGAGTGTTTCACATTCCTTTCGCCTAAGTGTTAATAGTGACCTGATATCGCAAAGAATCGCCTGGTTAACTCCTTTCAGGATCCTATGATGTTAGCCGAGAGAGTTTCAAACCATTTTATGGTAGAGTCCCCCAGACTCATTGAGAACACCTGGCATAGTAACCTGTGATCCGAATGGTATAGGGACATCATTTGCTTCTATTGTCTGAAGTGGGCTTCCGGGTCAGAACGTCCATCATAAACTTTGAATCTTGGTACTGCAAACTTCTTTGGTACCTCTGTCTCCATGATACTCCTTCTGAAGGGCGACCGAATGGCTTCATCATCCGTGTCGTCCTCTTGTATGACCATATCCCTCATTGTGGAATCCAACCGTGCTCTGAGGTCTTCTCTTTGCTCGGGGTGCATTTCTCCATCTTCTCAGCGTCGGTCAACATGTTCCTCAGTTCCAGGGTGTCGGATGGAGAAGGTTGACCCTTCCTCGAATTCCTCCATGCTCCATCACCCTAATAGTCCCCAACAGAGGTCATTCCAGGCCAATGATCTGGTCCTCTTGGATGGAACCTCTGGGAGCTGTTGCTTGGCCCTCGGGCATTTCAGAGCCTTGGAACTCCCCGCCTTGCTACTCAGGCAGTTCTCAAGTCCCCTGGTCCCACCTCCCTAACGAAGGGTTCCCGGGACTGCCACAAGTCTCGAGATCCTACGTCGGAGGATGCAAATCCATTAAGCTGATTCAGGACGTTCACGTTGTTCTCCTCTAACTGTCATAATCGATTCCCAAATTTTTCCTCGATCACGTCAGTCAGTTGATGGGCCAAGTGGGTTGATTTTTCAACTCCGATACTCAAACTAGTTTGGCGGGTTTTCTCCCTAGATCAATCCGAAAGTTCCTTGTTGACATTTTTGATACAGTCTCAACATGGAGGGAGTTAGTAAATTGATATTCCTTTGTTGAGGACCCTTTCCCTTTTGACGAGCATTCACCATGGTCACTGTTTTTCAGGAAACTTGGTCAATTTCCCATAGATGGCACCAAATTGTGTGCGATGATATTTGCATATAAAAAGACAGTTCTTTCCCTTGGTGAACTCGTGTTTACCTCGAAAGTCGGCGATCCCGTGACAAAAGAGGGTCAAAGATGGCCTAAGGAGTGGTGATGAATTATTCTTAGGGTTGTCTGATCGATTCTAGCAGATCGTAGATGGTCTGGGATATTTTTTGACATATCCTGGCAGTCAAAAGGAGGGTTAGAAGGGCACCATAGTGATTTCGACGTATCCCTCCCACGATCAAGTCAGTTCTTTGAGAGAGTAGAAGAAGAAAGCATTGTTTGGTGTTCTTGAAAAATGAATTTACATACTTTTATCTTCAGATTTTTATCACTATTTATACCTTCAAGAGCTCATCATTGCTGATAGGTGAAGTAGTAGGTATAACACAGTTATTGGGCAGTACACTTTCTCATTTTGCATGGGGGAGTCACAATTATTAATTGCTCGAGCTCCCGAGCATTAAATGTTCTTTCTTCAATGTAGAGGCATTAAATGCTCGAGTCCTAGGGCATTTAATGCTCCTTCTCGACTTCCCAAGTCATCGTGGATGTCCCATCCTTCTGAGGGGTCATTAATGTTTCTTTGGGATGACTGCATGTCAAAAGGGATACTTTCATCTTTTTACCCCCAACCTTGTTCATTATGTCACGTGCCTCACTCTCTTTGGTTGATGGTCTTGTCCCTTCTGTCATTCTGACTTCATTGGGAGAGTTACCCAATGATTCATAGTCTAACTCTGAGACTGATTGACTACGTTAGTCAGTGACCCCTCTAGGAGCCGAGGCAACGTGGCCAAAACAAGTCCTCAGAATCTAACCACATAGGGAATGTGCAGCTAGAACAAAGAACAGGAGATGCCCTTAGTGCCAAGGACACGTGATGT